ATTTCGATCTCAATTGTGTCGGATCGAGATCCTAGATTCACCTTCGCATTTTAGAAGACTCGCATAAGGCCATGGGCACCAAGCTCAATTTCGGCACGACTTATCATCCACAAGCCGACGGACAATCCGAATGTGTAATCCAGATTCCCGAAGATATGCTACGAGCGTGCATTCTAGATTAGTCTAGAAAGTGAGAGAAATATATATGCTAAGTCAAATTTGCGTATAACAATAGCTACCAAGCTTCAATTGAAATGGCTCCCTATGAGGCTTTGTATGGACGACGATGTAGATCTCCCATACATTGGGATGAAATAGGAGAAAGAAGGTTGCTAGGACCGAGTTGGTACGAGAGACGGTCGAAGTAGTAGACCAAATCCGTCAACAAATGAAAACGACTCAAAGCGGACGAGAAAAGTTACGCGGACAAACGAAGGAAGGATCTAGAGTTCGTGATCGGTGATTACGTATGTTTAAGAGTATCAACAATGAAGGATGTACTACGGTTTGGAAAAAGGAGAAAGTTAAACCCTCCGTATATAGGACCATTTGAGATACTTAGAGCGAGTAGGAGATAAGGCGTATTGCATATTGCTACCACCATCCTTAGCGGGAATACATAATGTATTTCATATATCTATGCTAAGGAAGTGCATTGGAGAGCCGAGTCAAATTTTTAATATAGAGTCGCTGAATCTTACTCCGGATTTAACGTACGAAGAGAGACCGATCCGCATTCTCGATCGACGGGTCAAACAGTTGAAAAATAAGGAAATCGGGCTAGTTAAAGTTTTGTGGGAAAACCATAACCTCGAAGAAATGACTTGGGAACGTGAGCAAGAAATGAAAGATAAATTCCCCGAGTTATTCAAGTGAATCAATTTCGAGGATGAAATTTTTTTTAAAGAGGGGAGAATTGTAACCCCCATAAAAACCCTTATCCGTAACGCGACGTGTATTAAAATAATTCTATATATATGTATATTAAGAGTAAGTATAATTCTCATTTAATCATGAGAAATTAATGCTTGAAATATGTGATTTATGTTAAATTAAAGTTATTGTGCTTAAGATTAATGGTTTAATTATTAAAGAAATCAAATATGCAAAATCGGTGTTTTAAGGACTATTTTCTCGCCCGAGTTTTGTGTGAATTATTTGAGGCCTTTAGGGTAATTTTTGGGTCAATCTTAAAGAATGAAAGTTATTCATCTATGTGTTGAATAGGCCTGTATAACATTTGATAATATTTGGACCTATACATTAAGAGGTATACCAATTATAGCAAGGGTGTTTCGAAATGCATTCTGTTGGAATTTTAGAAGAAGAATCTTTTCGAATCTTGTGAGATTCATTTGATGCTGTTATATTGATTTTTGAGCAAACCTTAAAGAATAAAAGTTGTTTTTATATGTGTGTAACAGCTCTATATAAAATTTCATAATTTTTGGATACATATAGAAAGCGTTATGCACATTTTAGTATAGATGAGTTAGGAGGTAACATTGCTTGAAATTTTGAGGAGAAAGAAATTTCGAATTTTATAAATGGAAATTTTCGAATTTTTTATGAATGAAATTATTTCTAATTACATGAACCCAGCTTATTATTTTATTTATTTAGCCTAAGTTTTCTTTAGCCACCTAAGCACTGGAATTAAATGCTTGGAAGCCAAATCATCACCTTTGACTTCCAAAACATGCCAGCTTTGCCTTCCAAGCTTCCTCCATTTTACATTTGGCCTAGTTAAATTTTAACACTTATGATATAAATAAATGAGAGGATAAAAGGTGGGTATATAAGGGAAAGAGAGGGTTAAATGGCTGCCATTTTTAGGCCAAAAACCATAGCCATCCGAATTAAAAGAGAAGCCAAATTGAAGAGAGAAAAACAGCAAAAAGAGAGAAAGAAAGAAAAGAGAAAGAGAAAGGGAAAAAGGAAAGAAAAAGAGCTAAGGAAATTCTAATCAAACCTAAAAGAGGTAAGTAGGTTTGATTTTTTTTGTTGATTAATGTCTTAAATTATTTTTTTAAAGTTATTTTGTTAGTGTTTATTTCATGGGTTGTAATAATTTTCAATGGTTATATGCTTGATGCTTGGGATAAATATATGTATGGATGCCTTGTTGTGATGATTTATGATGTTATGATTTTTCAAAAAATGTCCAAGTATGTGGTGATGGGTTGGATTGAACTTGGACTAAATTTAAGTGAACTAAAACATGTTTAAAATTGGCTTGGAATGAACTACTAAATTAGTGTTGATAAGGAGTAAATTCTGTCCGAATTTTGGGGTGTATTTTCAAGGATTTTAGATCGATTTCTAGGTGAAACTTAAAGCCTAAAAGTTGTTCATCTCTGTTCCAACTAACTTCCTTTAAAATTTCTTGGTCATTGGATTCGTGTACAAAGAGTTATATCCAATTTAGTATGGATAGCTCTAGATAAACTACTATTAGGCAGATTTGCTCCCTAAGTTTCAAAAATTTGTAATTAATTATGTACTTAGTATTTAGACCTAATTTTGGGATATGTTATAAATAAATATGTCTAGTATCTAAAATAAAATGAGTAAGATTTAATTATGTTCTAAAATTAGAAAATTATTTACTCGATTAGGAGTTGCCCGGTAATAAATCCTAAAACAAAAAAAATTAGACTTGGACAAAATTAATAGGTTTGGAATAAACTAAATGAGCTTGGACTAAATAAAATGGAATTAAATAGAGTCAATGGACCTAGGATAAAGGTAATGGGCTCGGATTAAAGTAAATGGACTTGGACTTTCTTTTAAATATTAATAAAACCGATGAACAATATTAATGAGCGGAGATTGTGTTCCCGCTATGGGTATTAGGATTGGTATGTGAGCAATGGATAAATTTCGAGTGTGGGTTGGACCGTGAGTATGGCATGAGAATGAAGGGTTGATACTCGAATTTGGTTGAATGTGATTAAATATGTCATCACGTGCATCATGTGCATAGTGGGTGGTTTAAGACAAGTCAATTGATTGAGAAATGGTTTATACATCTAGGTTTGATAACCTAATTGGAATAAATGGGTATTAGTAGTCCAAGTACTCTAAGTTGTGTGCTCGCACTATTAGACGATGAATTTTCGCTAATAGTAGTTACAACGAGAGATAATTCCGTTGTAGCGAGAAGATGATCCGAGGATCATCTCGGATAAAATAAAGTTGTGTGCTTGCACTCGTTAGACGATGGATTTTCGCTAACGGTAGTTACAACGAGGGATAATTCCGTTGTAGCGAGAAGGTGATCTCGCGGACCATCCGGATGATAAATAGAGTAAAGCTGGCTAATATCTAGGATACCCAAGATTAAAATTTATGAGTATGGTGGGAAGTCAAAACAACATTGCATATCACATGCATCACCCCGCTTACTAAGCTTTAGCTCACCCTATTGTTATTTTTTTTATGTCTTGACGGAAAAAGATAAGTTGGTACGGATGCGGCTGGCTCCTCCTAACTCGGCTCATGTGAGGCACTATATATTAGTTTTTATTTTGTCCGTAAATTTGGGGTATGGAGTTCGTGAGAAATTGAATATTACTCGTAATGTTTTATTAATGTATTTAATTATGTTATGTAAATTTTATCTCGAAGGAGTTATATACGTAATGTACTCGTTAAAGTTCTAAGAATATCATAAGAAAACTACTTAGAGTTTAGGGTATGTCGGCGTAACACGCTTCGTCTAGTACCCTACTTGGGTAGTAGAAATATGACTGGGGCGGGGGCGTTACACCTACTTATAGCAAAGAAAAATTAACAAAACAAAAACCAAAATAGAAAGCAAATTTTCATTTTTTTAAAAAAAGACTTAAGAAAATGAAAATATATTTGGTTTTAGTTTAGCAAGAACTAGATTTTTTGCCCACGCTCTCGTTGCGAGTTAGATAAAATACATAAAATCATTTGAAAAAATCATTTCAGTTTAATAGTCTTTTTTATGGTGTAAAAAAAGCCATGAACAATTAAAGTAATAGCGAAATGTGAGTGTGTGAATAGTGAAATGTGATAAATTCAAAGAATGAAATTTAAATAGCAAGAGTAAAATAAAATGAATTATATGTTAATTTTAAAATATAAAAAGATATATTATATAATTGTCCCTTTTGTGTGGCAAAAAATTGCAATTGATTTTTTAAAATGTTAACATCCAATTAAATTAAAAAAAAAACATAAATTGATGAAAAAAAGCAAAGAAAATATTAATTTTTCAAAATTTTAACATTCAATCACATAAAAAAAGAATATAAATTGATGAAAAAAAAAAGAAAAAACTAAAGAAAAAAGAAGAAGAAAATGCATGTGTAGTGCATGAGTTAAGGGATTAAAATATTTATTTTAAATTTATAGGGACCAAAATAAAATAACTTGAAATTTCTTTAAAAAAAACTAAGGAATAGTAATGAACAGTATGTAGCATTGTTCATTATTGTTCCTTCTACCGTTCATTTGATTGTTTTATTTTAATATATTATTCAATAAAAATCAAATATAATAAAATTTCAATTACCAAAATCAAGAAAAGATCGTAAAATAAGGACCAAAACAAAAAGAAAAGTTTTACTAAAAGCTAAAGAAAATATTATTTTTAGAGATAAAAATCAAATATGATAAAACTTTCATCACTAAAATAAAATAAAAAAAGAAAATAAAACGAAAAAAAAATCACGAAAAGCTAAAAAAAAGTTTAGCTATAGTGAAAGTCTTCTTTATTTTAATATATTTATTAATTTGTTGGCATATTTATAATATTAAAATTCCCACCAACCACCCCGCCCCAGCCCACCCTACCTGTGATATTGATTATAATATTTAACCAGCGGGCTAAGTCCCCAACAAGCACACCTCTAGTATCTAAAAGATACAAAGGCGTTGGAACTTTGATCAATTGAATTGTGTTGTTGCCAATTGGGGTTCAACATAACCTGGAAAACAAATCTGTATTGCCTCAACCTCTACCTGAGATGAAGAACAACAACTTACCAAAATTCTTTTTGTCCGTTAAACTGAAATATGTGAAACTTGGTTACCACTGCTTGGTTTCCAATGCCATGTACCTCATGCTCATGCCATTACTTTGCAAGATATTGGCTCATGTTTCAACCTTCACAGTTGATGAGCTTTTGAATCAACTCAAATTCAATTTCGTGGTTGTAGTTCTTTCCTCAACCTCAATTGCTTTTACTGCTACACTTTACTTCATGAGCCGTCCAAGAAAAGTTTACTTGGTGGAATTTTCATGTTACAAGCCTGGACCAGCTCATAAAGCAACTAGAGAGCTCTTCATGCAGTTATCTTCAGCGTCCAAGGTTTTCACAGAGCAAAGCTTAGCCTTTCAAAAGAAAATCCTGGAGAAATCAGGCTTTGGTGAAATGACGTATGCTCCAAAAGGCTTGATGCATGTCCCACCAGACCAGTCTATGGCTGAGTCGTGGAGGGAGTCAGAGATGGTGATGTTTGGAGCAATTGACGATCTCTTGGCCAAAACAATGTTGAAGCCCAGAGACATAGGAATACTTGTAGTGAATAGCAGTTTGTTCAATCCCACGCCGTCTCTCGCAGCTAGGATTGTGAATCACTACAAGCTTAGAGGGAACATTTTGAGCTATAATCTTGGTGGTATGGGCTGCAGTGCAGGACTTATTTCTATTGATCTTACCAAAGACCTTTTACAGGTTTGTTACATTTAAACGACAAATTTTGAAAGTGACACTCTTTTGGCTTTGGATATAGCAATTTAATTAATTTGTTTGTTAACATAGCATTACTTGTACATGTAATATATTTAAATTAAGCAAATGAGTTTGTAGCTCAACTCGAACCTTATCCATGATCTCCAAATTAAGCAATCTTAGGTTGGAGAAATTCTTTTGTGAAAAATAAAAATAAAAAACAATTAAGGCTTGACATCTTACTGTACCAGGTGCATCCCAACTCCTATGCCCTAGTGGTGAGTACCGAGAACATTACACGCAACTGGTATTTTGGCAATGACCGATCGATGCTTGTCACCAACTGCCTCTTCCGTCTGGGAGCAGCCGCGGTCCTCCTATCCAATCGGACTTTTGATCGTCGGCGCTCAAAGTATCAACTTATTCATACTGTACGCACGCATAAAGGATACAGATGACAAGTCCTTCAACTGTGTCTTGCAACGAGACGATCTTGACACCAAAAACGTTGGCGTCTCTCTCTCTAAAGACTTGATGGCTATAGCTGGAGAAGCCCTTAAAACCAATATTACTACACTAGGGCCATTAGTCCTTCCCATGTCTGAGCAACTCCTATTTTTTGCAACTTTGCTAGGAAGAAAAATCTTCAAAATGAAGATAAAGCCATATATATTCCTGATTTCAAGTTGGCATTTGAGCACTTCTGCATTCATGCTGGAGGAAGAGGTGTGTTGGATGAGCTTGAGAAAAATCTTGAGCTCACTGAATGACATATGGAGCCATCAAGAATGACTCTTTATAGGTTTGGAAATACTTCTAGTAGTTCTTTGTGGTATGAATTGGCTTACTCTGAGGCTAAGGGAAGGATCAAGAAGGGGGACAGAGTTTGGCAAATAGGATTTGGTTCAGGATTTAAGTGCAACAGTGCCGTGTGGCGTGCTATAAGAACTATCAATCCGGCCAAAGAAAAGAATCCTTGGATGGATGAGATTGATGAGTTTGATGAGTTTCCTGTTTCGTGTGGCCAAAGTTGCACGCATTGTTTCCTAAACTTTGTTTTGCACGAGGGGCCAAATTGGGTGTTATTCCTAGTCGTATTATTATTATTATTATTATTATTATATCATCAATATGTTTGTATTCCGAATGCAGGATTTAGGATGAAATAAAAATGTTATTGTCGCATCTCTTTTGGTGTAGAAATAGCATTCACTACAACAAAAATAAGTTTTAGCGACGGTCCACAAACCGTCGCTAAATACCTAAATTAACAACAATTTTTCATACTTTAGCAACGGTCTAAAAAATGGTTACAAAAATTAAATTTTACGACGGTTTTTAGCAACGGTCCACAATCCGTTGCTACTTTTATCGGCTAACCATTTTAGCAACGGTCTAAACCGTTGCTAAACTCGTTGGTACATTTAGCAACGGTTTAGCCCGTTGCTAAAACCGTTGGTAAAAGTTATTTAATATTTTTTCAAAGGTTTTATAAAAAAAAGCCTAAATAAAAAATACGTTAGCGACGGTCTTATGCCGTTACCGAAAGGAAAATTAGCAACGGTTTGGTGTTATTAAACCGTTGCCAAAATATTCCGGTGACCGTCGTAAAACCGTCGCCAAATCAAACTCGGAAACGGTTTAGTGACGGTCCGGGACCGTCGCTGAACCGTTGGTAAGTGTTTAACGGTTGCAAAGTAACCGTTGCAACGTTATATTAGATCGTCGCTAAACGAGTTGCTAAAAGTAACCGTTGGTGGGAAATGGTCAAATTAAATTTTGAATTTACTTTTAGCGACAGTTTAGCAACGGTCTAGAACCGTCGCTAAAAACTTTACACTTCTATAAATAGCAGTCGATCGGAATCGCCATTTTCTATTTTCTTCTCCTCTCTTCTTCTCCTCTGGCAGTGAATCTATGCCTTTTTCGTCTCCAATCCTTTGATCTCTCTCATCAAAGCTATTGTTTCCTTAAAATCTCCATATTTCTTTCCTCTTTTCCTCCTCCTTTCAAGTTTTCTCTCTTCCGTTGAAGTTGCCATTTTTCGACGACCATATTCCGACGAGGCTTTTTTTCCAACGGTTTCTCCCACTCCTTCTCTTGGTGACGAGTGCACCTAAATCTAAAACATACTTTCAATTATTAATTTTTTCAGTTATTTATTTATGTCAAATAATTAGATTTTAATTTAATTTAATTTAATTACTTATTATTGCTAGTTTAATTATTGAATTGTTTGTTTATTGCATGTGTTTTTTTAATTTGATTATTTAATTAAAATTTATTTTGTGTGTTATTTTAGTGTAAATTGTGAGAGTTAATTAAAATGTTTAATTGTTAATTGTTATGTTAATGTTGTTGTTAATTATTAATTAATTGAATATTATTGTTAACTTTTTAATTTTGTTTTATTTTTTTAAATTGTTGATTAAATTAATTTGATTGTTAATTGTTAATTTACTTACTTTAATTTATTGTTAATTTTTTTTTAGAAAATATAATTGTTATATTTCATTTTATATTGTTATTTAAATTGTTATTGTTATTGTTATTAGTGTAGCTAATAATTGTTAATTTACTTAAGTAATTCACAATTTATTGAAAACATTATTAATTTCTGTAATTCCTAGTTCATTAAGTTAAAGGGTTAGGCTAGTACAAAATAAATTAAAACAATTTTCTAAAATTATTTTTAAATAAATAAAAAAAAAGTTATTAGAAATATTTGTAATTATAATTAGGAATTAAATAAATAATTAAGTTGTATTTAAAAAATTTCTTAAAAAAATTTTAAATACATAAAAAATAAAATTATAGAAAAAATTTGTAATTGTTAGTAATTAAATAAATAATTAAGAGTTATTTAAAAAATTGTCTTAAAAAAATTTTAGATAGATAAAAAAATAAAATTATAGGAAAAATTTGTAATTGTTAGTAATTAAATAAATAATTAAGTTGTATTTAAAAAATTTTCTTAAAAAATTTTAGATAGATAAAAAATAAAATTGTAGGAAAAAATTGTAATTGTTAGTAATTAAATAAATAATTAAGAATTATTTAAAAACTTTTCTTAAAAAAAATTTAGATAGATAAAAAATAAAATTATAGGAAATATTTGTAATTGTTAGTAATTAAATAAATAATTAAGTTGTATTTAAAAAATTTTCTTAAAAAAATTTTAGATAGATAAAAAATAAAATTATCGGAAAAATTTGTAATTGTTAGTAATTAAATAAATAATTAAGTTGTATTTAAAAAAGTTTCTTAAAAAAATTTTAGATAGATAAAAAATAAAATTGTAGGAAATATTTGTAATTGTTAGTAATTAAATAAATAATTAAGAGTTATTTAAAAAATTTTCTTAAAAAAATTTTAGATAGATAAAAAATAAAATTATAGGAAAAATTTGTAATTGTTAGTAATTAAATAAATAATTAAGAGTTATTTATAAAATTTTCTTAAAAAACTTTTAGATAGATAAAAAATAAAATTATAGGAAATATTTGTAATTGTTAGTAATTAAATAATAATTAAGAGTTATTTAAAAAATTTTCTCGAAAAAAATTTTAGATAGATAAAAAATAAAATTATAGGAAAAATTTGTAATTGTTAGTAATTAGATAAATAATTAAGAGTTATTTAAAAAAATTTCTTAAAAAATTTTTAGATAGATAAAAAATAAAATTAGAGGAAATATTTGTAATTGTGAGTAATTAAATAAATAATTAAGTTGTATTTAACATTTTTTTCTAAACTTAGGTTTATATATTTAGAAAATAACTTGTGTGTAACAAAAAAAGATTTTAGATTAAGTAATAAAAGTTATTTAAGTAATTACATAAACAATTAATACGATTACTTTATAACAATTTTGTTTAAAATGAATTTGGATCGCTATTGGATTGACTTTAGATTAACCGGTGGATTATTAAATGAGCGTTTTGTAGAAGGGGTTAATGAATTTATTAACTTTGCGGTGAGTCATCCACGAGTGCATGGATGGAAATAAGATACGATATCCATGTAAATAAAAAAAATATCAAAATCGTAGTTATGAAAACCCCGATACCGTTAAGTATCATTTGCTTAGATATGGGTTTGTGTCTCGGGTATTATGTGTAGAGACGTCATGGAGAGAATGATTTAGCAAATAATGCCAATTTGTTTAATAATGTTGAACAAGAACAAATATGTGATGATCGTCAAGTTAATCGATACCACACAATGGTGATGGATGCAATTGGTCCATCTTTTAATTCGTCTAACACGGACGAAGACCCAAACCCTTTTGCACAAGCATTTTATGATTTATTAGATGCATCGAATAGAAAAATATGGATCGGGTCGGAAAACCATTCGCAGTTATCCGCAATGTCTCGTTTGTTGCATCTCAAGTCCGAGCATCATTTTTCGGAGAGGTGTTACGACGATTTATGTCAACTTATGAAAGAGTTGATGCCTCCCGATAACCGTATGCCAGAAGACTTTTATAGTACAAAAAAAATGATAGAAATGATGGGTTTGCTCATAGAAAAGATCCACTGTTGCATTAGTGGTTGCATGATTTATCGGGGTCGGGACGACCAGAGAATCTCTTGTAAAATATGTGATCATCCTCGATATCGAAATCCTACGCGGGGTTCGATTAGACAAACATTTGTCCCCTATAAAAAAATGTATTATTTTTCGATAACCCTACGATTACAAAGGATGTATGCATCAAATGCCACCGTTAATGATATGACATGGCATGCGTAACATGTGTGTGAGCCCAACGTCATGCGTCATTGTTCGTACTCCTTCGCATGGCAACATTTTGACCAAACACATCCTTCTTTTGCATCGAAATTAGGAATGTTAGATTAGGTGTTTGCACCGATGGGTTTCAACCGTTTGGTAAGTCCGGACAACAATATTCTTTGTGGCTCGTCATTGTAACGCCATACAATTTGCCACCATGGAAATGTATGAAAGAAGAATATATGTTCTTAATCGTTATTGTCCCCGGTCCTAAGAACCCTAAAATCAATTTAGATGTATACTTACAACCCTTAATTAAAGAGTTGATAGAATTATAGGAAGTAGGTGCTCTTACGTATGATGTGTCACGTAAAGACAATTTTCAAATGAGAGCCGTCGTCATGTGGACAATTAGTGACTTTTCCGCATATTCAATGTTATCCGGTTGGAGTATCGCGGGTAAGACAAGCATGTCCGTATAGTATGGAAAATTTCGATGCTTTCACCCTTCGAAACGGGAGGAAAACTTCATGGTTTGATTGCCATCGAAAGTTTCTATCACAAAGCCATCCGTTCGAGCGAAATAGGACTCGCGTTCAAGCGAAATTCAGCTTGTTACGGACATTGCTCCACCGATAAAGTCCGGAATTGAAATTTTACAAGAATTAAACAATTGGGGGTTACCGGAAGTAACGAAAGAGGGATCCGATGAGTATAATAATAATATTTCTAAATATTGTGGTTGGAAAAAACATAGTATATTTTGGGACCTACCTTATTGGAGTTCTAATCTAATACGTCATAATTTGGATGTCATGCACATTGAAAAAAATGTCTTCGACAATGTGTTTAATACAATTATGAATGTCCCGGGAAAAACAAAAGACAATGCAAATTCAAGAGAAGACTTAAAGCTATATTGTCGACGGCTCGAATTAGAAATAGATGAAAACTCTAGAAAATACCCAAAACCCCGTTATACTCTAGACAAATAACAAAAAATACAATTACTTGAATGGATTAAACAACT